TCTTTCTCGTTTTGTATTAGTACACATTTACAGTACATAGTGATTACACTCATGGGAAGTTGGTACATGTGCATAACATCTTAATTCTTTGTACTCTTCCCTTCCTCTTCCCTCTTTCCCACCTGTCTCCATCTCTAGGTGAATCTGTTTTTATATCTTAGGATCAGGTTTCTGCCCTTTACCTTTTCAGTTGATCTATTTTATGGACTTGTCTTTAAGGAATTTTGGGGGAAAAAAAAAAAAAGCCAAAACAGCATAAACAAGCCAGGGGAATAAAGTTGTGAAATACAGATATGGAGAACTTTGAGTAACTTTGGTTCTGGCAGGTAGTTTCTGTCTTCTTAAACACACAGTTTTTAAATTATAATTTTCCTTGTCTCCTTTCTACCTATCTTTACTTTTCTATCCTACCTCAAGTGCACCAGGGTATTCTTCATAGTCAAAGCCTAAGTTTAATGAAGTACAGCTAAGATTTTTACCTGTGAGGATATGCATGTGTTGTTTAGGTATACACTTCATCTCTCTGTCGTGGCTCAAGGTTTCTGATTTGTATTATCTTCAGTATGGTCTGCATACCATGGAATTATATACTGTGTACTTTGTTTCTGCTGCAGCCAGCCTTTTCAGATGGTTGTTATTGTTTTTTACTGGGGATTGAACCCAGGGTTCTCTACCACTGAGCTATTACATCCCAACCCATTTTTTTTTTTTTTGAGGCAGGGTCTCTGCCTTTGTAGTTCAGGCTGGCCCTGAACTCACAGTGATCCTCCTGCCTCAGCCTCCCGAGTGCTGGGATCACAGGCATGCACCACCACACCGGGTCTCCCCAACCCTTTTTTTTTTTCTGGTACCAGAGATCAAACTCGGGTCCTTTTGCTCGCTTGGCAAGTGGCCAAACCACTGAGCTAAATCCCTGGCCCTTCCTCAACCCTTTTTAAAGACAGGGTCTCACTGAGTTGCCTTGGCTGGCCTCAAATTTCTGACTTTTCTACCTCAGCCTCCTAAGTAGCTGGGATTACAGGTATGCACCACCATGCTTGGCTCCAAAAAAAAAAAATTTTTTTTTAAGAGCTGGAAGTGTAACTCAGTGAAGCACTTGCCTAGCATTTGCAAGGCCTTGATTTCAACCACCGTGGGGGAGGAGGGGACATTAAGTTTTATTCAAAGGAACAGAGAGTTCTGCTGAAATAATCTACTTTGCTGTCACTTCTAAAGTGAAATTAATGAAGAAAGAAACACAGATTGATCTTTTTCTCACAATTTTCATTTGGGTTGGGTTTTTGGTTTTTGTTTTCTTGAGACAGGGTCTCCCTGTGTGTAGTTCAGGCTGCCTTGAACTCACAGCAGTTTTCCTGCATCAGCCTCTTGAGTGCTGGGATCACACAGGCCCACCTGTGACGTGCCACCACACCCAGCTTCATTTGGCTTGTTTTTATTTTTTTTTTATTTTTTATTTTTTGGCTTGTTTTTAAAAATGTGCTAGACATAGAATTGGATTGTTGAGCATAATGTTATTGTCATTCTGGGTTGTGCTAGCGCTGATTTAGCTTGTATCATCACATTGGGTGACACATAGCACTTATCTTATTCCACTTCTCCATCCAAAACTACATCCTCATTCTGTACCTGAAAGTCACATTTGTAAAGTAAATGCTGGTCTGAGTCATGATACACTGCCTGTGTTCTATAAACTCTGTCCTTTTTATGTCATTACACATCAGCATAATGGAAACACTAATCAATCTGTAGAAGTCTCCAAACAGACTCCTGGGTGACAAGGGCAGGGACATGCAACTGTATTCCTAAGCAGGGGAAGGATGTAAGACTAGAAGAAAAATATTCTCCAGATTTGGGAAATGTGCATAAACTTTTTCATTTTGTTTTTTTTTTAAGACAGGGTCCTTTTGTTGTTGTTGTTGTTGTTGTTGTTGTTTCTCTTGAGACAGGGTCTCCCTATCTGTACTTCAGGCTGCCTCGAACTCACAGTAATCCTCCTGCCTCAGCCTCCCAAATGCTGGGATTACAGGCATGCAGCACCACACCTGCCTGTCTGATGTGCATAAATTTAACTCAGTGCTGAATTACAGGACCTGTAAACATTGGAAGGAGAAGCCTGGCCCTTTTCTTCACTCTATAAAATGTCCAAAGAGTAAGAGAAATACCCTGCAGCCACCAAAGGGTCATATAAACTTGTAGCAGCCTCTGTCTGACTATTCCTGCTTCCCAGGGACAAATTGCTGTTGTTGTTGTTTTGTTGTTGTTGTTGTTGTTACAGGATCTCATAGTGATGCTCAGGCTAGCCTCCAATTCTCAATCCTCCTGCCTCAGCCTTCCAAGCGCTGTTATTATATGACCATGCCTGGCCAGAGGCAGCCATTCTCAGATCTTGTGTCTATTTCTGCAGACCTGCTTCTGACAATGAAGAGTTGACTAAAAACGTGGAAGGGGATAAGGATGGAGAGAAGTGCCTAGGAATCGAGTCTGCAGGTCCCTTAATCCACAAGGAGAAAAACTCTGAAGTTCCTGTTGTTTTCATTCTAGTCAGTTTGCTGCCCAGAGCTCCAGGCAGTGGACAGGAATGGATGGCAAGGCTCCAGGGTGGCACTGGGCTGGGGTGGGGACGTTGTCTTCCAAGAGCAAGCCACTCATCATACTCTCTGCCCCAAATTCATTTTTGCAACCACTTTTGGCACTAGCATGATGCCAGGAAGCATCCCCAATGTGATCTGCTCAGTCATTCACTGTTCAATAATTTGAGGAGAAAAAAAAAAAAAAGGTCAAGAGACCCAGGAGGTCAAGCACATCCACTAGAGGGAGCGCCACCAAGTCTGTGCAGGCAGGGAGCCTCCCAAGGTCGCTCCTCAGCACCTGTCCGAGGATAACCACGTGGGAAAGAGGGGAAGTGAGGCAATAAATTAAGCATTGCGGGAGTGCTTGTAAATACCCAGCTAAAACCCAGGACTTTCAGGAGTCACAAAATCAAAGATTTAAAGCCCATGAGACTGAGCAAAATTAACTAGCTTGCCCAAGTTCAATCGGAGAGGGAACTCTTATCTCACCTCTCGTCTCTAACCAGTCCCTTTTCCTGACATCTACATTCTACTGGGTTAGCACGGTGGACTCCACAGGTGCACTTTTCCGTTCTCATTTATCTGAAATGGAACATTCTTTTCACTATCTGCTCCTGCATTTGTTTCCCTCATATACTGCGCAATGCTTTTCTGAAGGGCTCTTCAGTTTTAAGCCTAATAATGTCATCTTGCTAAGAGGACCCCAGGATGTAAACTGCCCAAGATGGCTCCCGACAGTCCTTTTCCTGCAGCAGTGCCTACCTAGAAGTGAGTCATAGCTAATCAGCAACAACACTTTTTCTCTCCAAACTATACTTAGGACTTGGGGACAAGGGAAGAATTGACCCGCCAGGACCTTCCTATTTGGTGAGCTGATTTGCCCATTGCACCTGCCTGTAAACTCCGTGTTTCCCAGTTGCCTGGACAACAGGCAGCCTCCAGAAACCCAGCCCTCCGTTCTCAGTCCTGCCCTCGGGGAATTTTGCCATCCTGGATTGGCTCCCAGGGCCAGGCTCCTCCTCAGGCTCCACCTGCTTGGGCTCACAGCCCTTCCCTGTGGGTGGGGCACTCCACGGAGAGACCTCACACTAAGGGAGAGACAGAGACAGAGGATCCGACAGGGGGTGGGATGATGGGGAGAGGGAGAGGACCAGGTTCAGAGACTTTCTCTAAAAGAGGGATGAGAGGAGTGACTTCTGTACATAGAGCCATCCTGCCCCGACCCCAGCCCCGCCCATGGTTCCCAGGAGACCAAGCACTTCCGGAAAGTGTGAGACAGACTTGGAGACTAGAGTGCCTCTCCTGAGACTCCTGGTTCCTTCCAGGGGTCAGGAAAGCATCCCTGCGTCTAGCCCTACACACCAAGTCCTTCCTCCCCCAGGACATGCCACCTAAGACCAAAGGAAAAAGGAGAAAAACTGGGGAACAGAAGAAAAAAAACTCTGGTGCTGGTGAGTGGCAGTGGGAAATTGTGCCCCTGTTCTCCACATCCTGGCATGGGGACCACACAGGGGTCCTCAGCATTCAGCCCCCTGCATGACAAGGTGGAGTTTTCTTGTCCTCATCATAGCCTTGAACCCAGATTCTACAAAGCTGAGGAACTGAAGAAATGCCACCCACATTCCCCCTGGAGTCCTGCCCAGCTCTGTGCCTCCCTAATAGGTCTGTTACCCATATGGGCTCAGCAGTGAGGACACAGCAGTGAGGTCAGCAGACTTTGTCATCAGGGATCCCTCATTGATCGGTCCTCTGACCTCATGCAGGAGCAACTCCAGCGGGTAGTGCTGACAGAGATCCCAGTAAACTAAAGCTCAACCAATTTGCCAGGGCAGATGTGGAGTCCGAGGCCAAGCACAGCCTCGTGCTTCTGGAGAAGGAGCTGCTCCAAGACCACTTGGGTGAGAAGGGTAAAGACTGGGGGGATCAGAAGTGGCACATGGGGCATTTCTGTGTCCTCGGGGTTGAAGAATTGGAGCTATGTGTGGGGCTAAGACAAAATCTAACCATCATAACTGGAAAAAGACTGTGAGGGAGGACTGAGCAATATGGGCTGATGAAAGCCCTCCCCCGCAACCCCAGCGTCCTGGAGATGGAACGCAGGGCTTTGCAGATGGTAGGCAGGGACTTTACCACTGAGCTACATCCCCAGCCCTTTTCTATTTTGAGATAGAGTCTTGCAGGGCTGGGGATGTAGCTCAGTGGTTTTGCTGCTTGCCTCACAAGTGCAAGGTCCTGAGTTCAATCCTCGGTACAAAAAAAAAATTAGCAGAGTCTTGCAGTTTCCCAGGCCGGCCTTGAACTTGCGATCCTCCTACCTAAATTTCCCAAGTAGCTAGGATTATAGGCAGGAAAGTACTTTTTAAAATCAAAACAGGGAGGGAGTTTTTACTTCTTAGTAATGAACAGGCCATTTGGGGTTGGGGGAGGCCAAACAGAATAAGAGGCTGGATACCCTGCCACCAGGTTTCCAGAGGTGGTCAGAGTTCATCAAGCCCATGGGAGCTGATTCTGTGCCACCCACAACCAGTTCTGAGGGTGGCTCTGGACTATTCACAGCTATATGGAGGGCTGAGGCCCGCCGAGCCAAAGCGTCTGAAGACCAGCTGAAGCAGAGGTTGCAAGAATTGGCAGCTGAATTAGAAAGGGCCCGAAGTGAAGGGAAGGCCATATTTGCAGGTGCGTGGTCAGTCAGGTAGTGAACAAAAGACAGGCCCGGAAAAGGACAACCAAGAGGCCCAGGGATGCAGGACGATCACGCATGGAGGGCTCTGACTCCCAGGCCTCCTCTCAGCATTCCAGAAAGATCCAAAAGCAAATCTCTAGCATCCCAGGGAGGGACCTTCCTGAATGCCTGATGTCATGTGCTTAATGCTTTGTGGGGAACAAAATGCAATCACAGCCGTTATGTCATTCATCCCATGAAAGGGGAGAAGGGCTGGAATCTCCATCCTAAGCTGGTATGTGGTTCAGGGTCTCCCAGCTTCACAGCATCACCACAAGGACCAAGAAGTTGCTATACTTCAGTCCTCTGCATCCACAACCTCATTTCCTTCCTCCATGCCTCCATTCCCCCCGGGTCTCTGGCTGGCCACTGCCCCACTTCAGAGATGAGCCGCCAACACCGGGCCCTGCAGAATGAGATGGATGCCCACAGAAAACAACTAGAGGAGGAAGTGAAGTGCCTTCGGGAACAGCTAGGTAAGTCCCCCCACCCTGCATCCTTCCACTCAGAAGGTCAACAACAAGCTCCAGTGTGAAAGGATGGCTATAAAAGGTCTTTCTCTAAAAGGTCGCCATCTGTTGGCTGAATGTGAATTTAGATCACTTTCTCCCCGGACTCTTTTTCCTTAAATATCATCCTGAGATATAAGTACAGAAAAGCTAGGTCTCTCACCCGTGTCCCCTTTTGCTTGGTCTTTCCAAACCCAGTGCTTACTTCTCTTCCCTGCTTTGTCTCTCCCAAGCAAGAAAACTAAGGGAAAAACGTTACGATTCCTTTACTTCTATTCCTTCAAGGCCTAGCACCTGGAAAATCCTAAATAATTTACTTACTAAATAAATGAATAAACCCTCCAAATAAGCAGAAATATGAAAAACAAGAAGCCTTTGTTTCTCTTCCCTCTTGCTTACAGGAAAGTTGAAATATCTTAGCATGGCATAAGAGATCTTTCATAATTTTGGCCTCAGAGTGTTCATATACTAAAATATCTTTAGTAGCTCTTTACCTACCATACATACCCTGGGTTCCTTCCTTGATCTTTGCCTTATTTCAAATCAACACTTATTGAACACCTCCTGTATGACAGGCACTTTGCCATCCATTTTCACATTTAAGAATCACAACAAGAAAGATATGCATCATTTTCTCTTTAAAGATGAAGAAACTGAGACTTAAAGGGAGCTATGTCCCAGATTATACAAGTTGTAAATGACAACCAGACTTTGAACCGGTTTCCTGTTTCAAGCCCACTACTCTTTCTATCATAACCCAATATGTCTTCAGCTTTTTGTTTTGTTTTGTTTTTGTTTTTGAGACAGGGTCTCACTATGTAGTTCAAACTGGCTTTAAACTCACTGTGTAGCCTAGGCTGGCCTCCAACTCATGGTGATCATCCTGCCTCAGCTTCCCAAGTGCTGGGATCACAGGTGTGCGCCACCACACCCAGCAGGTCTTTGGCTTTTTGCGGACTATAGAAAAGTTGATGACCCTGAGGGAGTCTGGAATGATCCCACTCATGATGCCCTTATAAGTACCTTTGGGAACTGTCCAGGGGTAGAGTGTCACCATCCTGTCTTCTTTGATCTTTCTGCCCTGCCCCCCAGAAACCTGCCAGAGAGAGACTGAGGCTTCAAGGAAAGAGGCTGAGCGAGTCCTTGGAGAGCGAGACCGGACCCTGGCTCAGCTTCGGGCCCACGTGACAGACATGGAGGCCAAGTTTGAGGAAATCTTAGATGTAAGCACCACCCCCCAGCCCCATCCACCCAGTACTCTGCCCTCCTCCACCCCATGTCCCACAGCTAGTGTGATGGCTGATGACCCAGGGGAAGGTGCAGGGTCTCCAAGGGCACCTTGCTCTATGCTGAGTGCAGATGGAGGGGATACACCAGGCCTGTTGGTTCAGATAAGGTGTCTGCAGGGCAGCCTGGACCTTCTCTTGGCCAAGCTGCGAGCCATCAAGCCTCAGTGGGATGAGGCTGCACTGAGACTCCACACCAGGCACAAGGAGATGCTGCGCCAGATTGGTCTCAACCCCCTGGATCTTTGAGGCTATTGGCCTCTAGTTTCCGGGGCCCAGCAATAAAGTATGTTGATGTAGAACTCAGCAGAGCTATGGGCTTAGCCTTTGGTGGGGAGGAAGCACACTTCCAGTCTGAGTTGACCCATATCCCAAAGCCTGAGTGACAGGAGAGAAATCTGACAGATGAGGTCTCAACTCCTCTCCTACAGAAACTGGATCCCATCCCTTGAGCCTAGGTCCTTTTTGAGTCCTCAAACTACCTCTCCCTTTCCCAAAAAACCCACAAAGACAGCGAGATTTACAAGAAAAGGCCATTCCTATAACTGGACATGGTAGTAACTAGGCACCCGCCCTTACAATTCTCAGGTGTCCACAAGGGAGGGTGTAACTAGTCTCTGAATTCTTGTACCACACCGTAGTCAGCTTCCAAATGGTTTTAATCCTTGCCAGCCCCACAGCGCCCCTCCTCAGGAGCTTCATCCTGGTGTGCAGCTCTCTGAAGTTCCCACAGCATTCCCTGGAGCCTCAGGCCTCTTCATGGGCCTTCTTCACATGGCCTCTGACCACATTCTCAGCTGGAAGGGAGCCCATGGGAGGGGAAGGAGCCCTGGGCAGTCCTGTCGGTGGTGCCTTGGAGTCCTCCAGCTCCCACTCTGAGCAGAATGGAAATGGGAAAGCTGCTCCATAGATCTGTGCCAAGTAGGGCTGTTCTACAGCAGATCTGAGGCCAGAGCCCGGTCCTACATAGAGAGAAAAAGGTTGTTCCTGGAGCACAACAGTTCCCTTTCCTTGGCCCGACCTGTCCTGAAATGTCCAGGATTAGGACTTACTCCATGAGTCCCACCTCTCGTGACCTGAAGTCCCCACCTGCAACCCCACACAGTCCTCCCAATCTGCCCTTTTCACTGGCTTGTCTTTGCCCTCTGGCTGTTAACAGCTATCTCTTCTTCCTCACCTCTCCATACCCTGGGGGAATCCAGGCTTCCAAGCCCTCTTGAGACCTGGCTGCCAGCGTCAGGCAGAGGGGTGGCTCAGCTTCAGCCAGCTGCTGAAGCCTTTCCAGGTCACTATCACCACCCACGGGATACCCGTTCACCTCCAGAACCACGTCTCCCATTTGCAGCCCTGCCTGGGCAGCTGAGCCTCCAGGGGTCACCTAGGGTTACAGGGGGACATATAGAACATGGGACAGCATGAAGAAGTTTGGTGGGTGTTCTAAGGCTCTGGGAGGGAGGCAGAAGTAGGCTGATGGGGAAGTAAAATGGAAAAAAAATCCAAGGTACATAGGGCATCGGTCACCTGAGAGATGAAGAGACAAGGCCCACTGGTCACACAGCTGAGTCGGAAGCCATAGCCACCACCAGGCCCAGGGTACAGGAAGCACTGGCAGGAGCCAGGAGGACCAGGAGACCCAGCTTTGTGTTCCACTGGTCGGTTCTCAGTCTCAACTGGAGAGGTCAAGTCAGTGGCCTTCGGGGAGGCAGCAGGCTCTGTGCTCTCCAAGAAGAGGAGTGGGGACAGGCGAACCTGAGGTGCAGATGGAGCAAACCTGTTGCACTTGAGCCCTGCTCCATTCCTGCCCATTCCCTAGCCCTGTCCCTCAGCACCCACCATGCTGAAGAAGCGGTCAGCCTCAGGGTCGACGACAGTGAGGGAAACACGAGAGCCCTGCTCTCGGATCCGGGATACAGTCTCCCCGTGGCCCAGCTCCTCCACACTCTCCCCAGCCACAGCCACCAGCCGGTCCCCTGCCCGCATCCCAGCCTTCTCAGCTGGCAGTCCTGGGTCCACCTCCCGAAGGAACTGCCCTGGGACACAGATATTGTCACTACTCCTCCCCAATTCACCCCTGTGCTGTCCCAGATCACCATGTTCACACCAGGGGGAACACAGGAGAAGGAGGCTGGGATCTAGGACTTAGAGAGGGACCCCTCTTTTGTGCCCTAAGAAGCATGCAGGTGCACTTGTGTGCCCACTCCAAGGCCCACCTTCCTTACCCACTCCCAGGGCTCCTACTCACCAAGTCGGCCATCAATGCCCTTCTCCTCCCGGAGCAGGAACCCAAAGCCCTTGGGCCCCTTCTCTAGGTGTAGACAACGGGGCTTGGCAGGCAGTGTCCAGCCTTCTGCCAGGGGTGCAGCTAGGGGCATTCCCAGCTGGCGACACTGATCCTCCACCTCTGGCCCTGCCACCAGCAGAGTCACCTGCTTTCCACTCTGCCAAAGCTGTGGGGACCCAGCAGGGCACCAGCATCAGCCATCTGGATAGGAAGGGAAGAGGCAGGCACCTCTTCACAGCCCCTCCTCCCAGGTACAGAAATGAGGCTCTAAGGAGAGGGCCTCGCACAAACTGGAGAGGGAAGGATGTTGAGGAATGCAGACCTCCAGATGAGGAAGTTAGGTACTGCAGAGGAGTCAGAAGTCAGAGAAGTCGGCTGCCTGCTGTGGGCCCTGCTCAGATGGGTGGAGGGTGGGGGGAACTGGCTGCAGCCAGTGTACCTTCCTGCTGAGCTGGTAATGAGTGAACTTCTCCACACTGACTCCATTCACTTCCAGCAGCCGGGCCCCAGGGGGCACCCCTGCCCGTTCAGCTGCTCCCCCTGTACTTAGCACCAGCCAGAAAGGACCTTGAGCTCCTGGAATCAAAAATGAAAAACAGCAAGTTCCAGTCTGCTGCCTGCCCAGAACAGCAGCTCCAATCCCCTTTCTAATCATGGCCCTTAGCCTCTAAGCTCACCGTGAGTGACACTGAAGCCAAAGCCACCCTCATCTTTCACTACATGGCACAGCCGGGGCCGGACCCCTGAGCCTAGGACAGGACAGAGGTGGGTATCGTTCCCCTGCTGAGCTCGGACTGCATCATAGACATGCCTCGCCAAGACTGTCAGCAACACCCGGGGACCGCTGGCCCGGATGTGACGCACCACCTAAACAGAGGCATGTGGGGTGAGAGAAGGTGTCCCCCTTGCCAGTTCCCAGGACCTCCCTGAAACTTGCATTTTGCACTGTGGAAACCAGCTCTCTAATGCCTTTACCCAATCCTTTCTACCTGGGCACCCCTAAATCCTGGGGTGTGGGAGGATGGAGGATAGTGCCAGAGAGCTGGCTGACCAGCTTCCCTCCCTGAGGTGCTGTGGAATGTTCTCCCATTACTACAGGGAGGCCCAGCCCAGGCTCACCACCACATGGTCCTCGTGCTCCACAACATTGTTGTTCACTGCCAGAATCTGATCTCCTTCCTGGAGACCTTGGCAGTGGGCAGAGGTGCCTGGCTCCACTCTGCACACCACATGCCCAGCCCTGCCCAGCTGCTGCTGAAGGTGAAAACCAAAACTCCTGCCTTCCTCTTTGCTCAACAGACAGAAGCGAGGCCGATGCAAATTCCAGGGATCTGGAGGGGAATGTAGGCAGCAGGGAAGGGGAAGGGGAGGGGGCACAGCCCAAGTACAGGTCCATGGCATGACTGGCAGCTGTTGCCTCCTGCCAGGGTACCCCTGTACCAAGAGAGAGGTTGGCAATGTGGCTAACATTGTGTGGGCAGTGTGCCTAGGATGGAGGCCATACTAGCCCTCACCCCCATCTCTGCGTAGTTACTATCAGAAAGAGACAGTGAATGGTTACCAAGGAGATGAGAGGCTGTGTGGAGCTGTGGTGTCTCCAGGGAAAGCCAATGGTTGTCAGGGGGCAAGAGAGAGGGTTACCAGAGCAGTTGTAGTCTTCGGCCAGGGAGAGGACCGGATTGTCAATGCCCAACTTTGGGTTAAATTTAAACTTCCTGCAAGGAGGCAGGAAAGGTAAGAGAAGCTGGAAGCTGGACTTAAGTCCTAGGCTCTGTCTTAAGTGTTAATGACACTGAAGACCCACCCTACCTTCAGTTTCTTCCCCCCTTTCCCCAACCATTGTGTCACTTACACAGTTAATGATGCCGTGTCCTGAAGATCTACTGGACAAAGAAGTGGGTGAAAGGAAAGGCAATTCCTCTTTCACACACACACACCTCTTCTATGGTCATAAACTGAGAGGACTTGGGGAACCCTAAACCCAGTTCTGGCCCCCTCTGTTCTGCTCCAAAAGGGTCTTCCCTTTTTACTAATGCCATACGAACAGGGCTGTTGTGTCTTCCCCCTCCCCTTCCAAGTCCTGGCTCATAAATCCAAGCATATCAGTGCAGGGTGTGGACCAGGTAGACAGAAATGTCAACTCACTTCTTTCCTCATAACTGCTGTGTATTTGCCTCGGGGTTCCAAGCCCCAGCATCAGGTATCCACTAATCCCAAAGCCTCCCAACCTGCCCACCAACCCCAATTGCCCTAAGTGCCCACCAGAGGATATCTCCCAGCCTCCTACCTGCAGCTGCCTCCATAGTTGGATCAGTGACCCAGTGCTCAGACAAGGGACAAGGTCCATTGTAACCAGCTGACCCTCCCACCTACCCCCTCTCAAGTCCCGCCTCCTTGAAGACGCTGCCTTGGAACTCAGAGGGTAATGGTTAACATCGATGAGAGTCTTATCCTCTGGGGAAGTGTGTGTGTTCCTCCTGCCCATTCCTGGGCCCCAACTTTCTCCAGAGATCCTGTAGTGAACCCTATCACCCCTCTGCTCATAGAAAGGCAGATTGCAAGCTCAGGGGAAGAGGTAAGGATGAGAAGGGAGACAGGAGTTCTATGGCCCAGCATGGCCAACCCCCACCCCAGGATCATGTACATGTGCCCTTCCCCTGCCCCTGTAGCCTCTGAACCTAGTGTCCAGTAACCACTTCCAACAGAAAGTGGTCAGCAGCTTAATCAGAATGACCAAGAACCGAAGAACAGTGCCCTTTCTTGGAAGCATCAAACAGGAAGCAGAGGCACGATAGGTGGAAGACACACAGCTTTTTAATAGCAGCAATTGGGGTGCACCTGCCTGTGGAGGCCACCAACTCATCAGTACCAGTGTGGTGCAGGGAACATGAGGGCCAGGGAAAGCACCAATATGAGGGCATCCTCAGTACCCATAGGTGAGCATAAGGCAGGAGTGAAGGCCCTGGCATGGCAGACATAAGAAGTGTGCCTCTCAGAGGCACAATCAGAGGCTCCTTGAGTGGAAGGAGAGATGAGTGGTGGTGCTACAGCACAATGTGGCCACCCAAATGCCACATCCTTAGTCCTTCTGGCCAATTGGAGAAGAGGCATGCCACAGAGCCCTAGGACCAAGCATCAATTCACTATTTCTGACTCAGGAAAGTCCAACTGTACAGGCCCTGGGGAACATGGCTCAGCGGGCAGTTGGCACAGCTGTGCCCACTGGTTTGCCTTCAGCATTATATATGCCTCCATATATAAAATATATATACATATATATAATTTTTTCCCCTTAGTTCTGGGAGTAGAACCCAGGGCCCAGCACATGCTAGGCCAGCACTTTATCACTAAACTAGAACCCTATCCCTTTTTGTTTTTCATTTTGAGACAGGGTCTCACTAAGTTGCCCAGGCTAGTTTTGAAATTGCAATCCTCCTGCCTCAGCCTCCTGATTGACTGGGCTATCACAGACATGCACCACTGTGCCCAGCTGCAGGGACCTTTCTAGAAGGAGTAGAATAAGCCAGGCAGGAAGGAGTTTGGGCCAAAGGGAAGGAATTCCAGCCAGTGGTCCCACAGCTAGGTCTCAGTTGCCACTGTTCAGCTCCCAGGGCCTCCCAGCTGCTCTAGGAGGGCCTTGACCTCACCCTCCACTCGAAGCAACTGGGCCTTGCGCCAGGGATTAAGGGTGGCACCTCGGTTATCTTCCAGATCTCGAAGCAGCAGCTCAAGGTGGCGACGGACCCGAGTCCAATCCCAGCTGTTGAGGTTCCGCTGTACTTCACTAAGGATCATCGACCAGTACTCTGACACAACTGCCCCCTCTGTCAGCGATGCCACAACCCGGGTACCACCTTCAGCAGTGCCCCCCAAGTCTCGAAGGACCTGGCGGCCCTCTGAGCTCAGCTCATTGAAGTAGAGGCTGGCAGGAAAGAGAAGGGCAGACACTCATCAGGTCTCTGAGAAGGAGGACCCAGGGGTGGATACACAGAGTCAGGAGACAGGGACAGGATGGCCAACTCGGCCCCTGGCTGCGAAACTCAACTGGGTAAGAATTTCCACTAAATCAATGATAGCTGGTGTTGGTCAGTGGGAGGCAGGGACTGACATGAGACTTCAGTGGGACAGGGACAATAAGCCCCTAGGAGAAATGGCAGTAGGAAACTGGGGCAGGGTAAAGGCCAGTCACAGAGAAGATGGGTTGCCTCAGGGCTGGGTTGGCAGGAGTCAGCCAAAATCCAAGAAGAGAGGACAGATACCAGGCCCAGGCTCAGAGCAGTCCTGGGGCAGGAAGAACACAATGGAGAGGAAAGGACTGAGGGGCAGGGGCCTTGGGACCCAGGGACAGGACTCACTGCAGCAGCTCCAGGGAAGGATGCTCCCAGGCTGCCTTGGCCAGGGCCAGGGCTGCCTTGTCACCAGCACCATTGTAGGCCACGTTCAGCTCCTGCAGTTGATGGTTGTGGTCCAGCTGGGCAGCTAGCAACTCCAGGCCCTCGTCCCCAAGGCCAGTGTGCAGCAGGGACAGGTGTGTCAGCGAGGTGTTTCCCTTCAGCCCCTCCAACAGCAGGGCAACACCCGCTGCAGTCAGTGGGTTGTTAGATAGCCTATGACCACAAGCAACCCAAGGTTATGACAGATGCCCTATGCTAGCCAAATGGGATATAGTCTGAGGTGGAGACAAGCCTGGGTACAAAAAATGCAGGCCCAGGAGAAGGGGACAGCAGGGATACAGTGGGTATGCCCCCTGCAGAGGAGGGACCATGAGAGAAAGTGAACTGCTTCTGTCCTCTTCCCCCTCTTTCCATCTCTTTTGCTCCCTGACTGCCTTCTCTCCTCTCCTTCCCTCTCCTTACCACTATTTCCCATCTTCCTTTTTTCACTGCCTCCCCAGCCTATGCTTCTCCCTGCTCTCTGGCTCCTCCCTTCTGCTCCCCCTTCCCTCTGCTCCTCCTTTGTCTCCCCTTACTCCAACCAGAAATGAAGATCCTAGTAGATCAGCCAACACTTTGAGAGCTCCTAGCAAGTGCCCAGCCTTAGGGTCATCCTTGTGAAGCTGCAGAAAGAGTCCTGGGAGGGATCAATGGCTCTGTTACCAGGCAAGTGGCCCAGTTATTACTGCAGCCTCCCTGCTCCCAGGCTGATGTTAGCCAGGAGAGAGGCTTTCTTAGCACCTATTACTGGTGGCATTCTCCCTGTTCTGTAATGAACTTGGGTGAGGGGGCTGCACAGGGTCTTGACTCCCACTCCCTTAACTGTGCCAGGTATGCTGTGAGGCAGGGAGTCGCCCTCAACCTGTGCTGGCCACCAGGATGGCCAGAGCCTCCCTCCAACACCTCTCCCAGGGTACTCACCTCAGGGTGGTGATTTGGCAATGGTCATGCAGCAGTAGGTCTCGGAGGTCCCTGCAGGCCTCAGGGCCCAGGCTGTTGAGTTGTAAGCTAGAGCAGAAGGTGGCCAGAGGGGAGGTGAGTGGAGGGAGTTCAGTATGGAGGCTTCCCATCTACAGAGCCCTTTCCTCCCCAGCCTGCCTCTTGCACCCACACCTGCCTCCTACCTGTTACTCCTGTCACCTCTGCCTACACCAGACTTCATCCCACCCTGATATGGCTGGATGTGGTTTGTTCCCCAAGAGTTCTTGAGTTAGAGGCTTGGTCCCCAGTGTGGTAGTATTAGGGACCACCACATTAGGGACCAAGGTGGCAGAACCTTAAGAGAGGAGGCCTGGTACAGGGCAATTAGGTCACTGGGGAAAGAGATTAATATTGGCCTTGCAGAGTTAGTGAGTCTTCCTGAGAATGGGTTGTTAGAAAACAGAAAGCAAGGCCACGCTGCACTTGGCCTCCTCTGCATGCACATTGTAATGCAGCCCAGGGATCCCTCTACAAAAGCTGAGCCAATGCAACTGCCCAATCTTGGACTCAGCCACCAAAACTGGGAGTTAAATACATTTCTTTTCTTTATAAAGTATCTAGCCTCAGGTGTTTTGTTATGGCAACAGAAAATAGGTGAATACACACCCTTTGGTCCTTCCTCAGGATTGTTGGTTTCCCTAGCACTTTCTCTCTCCCCCAACCCTCTCCTTTCTTCAGGCCCGTGCCTAAGGACAGGTCCTCACCCCAGCTTCCGGGCACGCAGGAAGACGGGCATGAGTGTGCGCAGCCCAGCAGGGTCCAGCTGGCAGGAGGCAAAGTTCACCTCATCCAGGACATGCCTTCCACTGCCCAGGACAGCTGCCACCACTGTACACTTGAGGGGTGTCATACGCACACCTGCCAAGTTGAGCTGGCGCAGGGAGCTTAGCAACTCATTAGAGAATCGCTGGTTCTGGAACTCATAGTGGAAGAAGAGGTGGTCAAGGAGCTCTGAGGGGGGCAGCACCTGCTGGCCCAGCTTGCCCAGCTTCTTCTTGATGGCCTGGGCATTCTCCAAGGCATCCAGGTTCTTGATGGGGCAGCCAAGCTGAGCCAGCACAGCCCGGTTGTGGGCAGACAGAAGCCCCCCCATGAACATGGGGAAGAGTTCAAAGACTTCATCCTCTGGGGGCTCATCGGGGTGACGCCGGGGCCCCTCCACACCCAGGATACTGGCACCCATCTGGTCCAGAACATCATCATTGTAGTAGTCCTCCTCTCGGAACATCTCCAGCACCATGGCCTGGGCCACAGCTTCCCGGCTCTTCCCCACCAAACGCCCAAACACTTGAGGAACCACCTGGAAAAGAAGCAGGGAGGGCGCTATGACAGCTAATTCAGTTTATTCAGCTGCCAAGGCACAGCTTAAGGTATACTTGCTCCTGCTCCAGCTTCACGATTTGCTGGATCACACTACTCCTGAGCTGCAACACCTCCATGGTGCCCCACTGCCTGTGTGGCAAACTAAATGGCCTGGAATGGAACACTTTTCATAATCCAGCCCAGCTGGGCCTTTCCAGGGCTATCTCTCAAACACCTGCCTCATCCACTCCAAGCATTAGGAACTTCTTTTTTTTCCCCTAAATACCCATACATTTTCAAGCCCGGGAGATGGGAGGGAGGAGTGAGTATACATGGTTGTCCCTTGGTGTCTGCATGGGCTTGGATCCCAAGAACTCTCACAGAGACCAAAAATCCATGAATGCTTAAATCCTTTATATAAAATGCTATAGTGTTTGCATATGGTTTACACTCATCCTCCTGTATATTTTAAATCATCTCTAGAATAGTTAAGATACTTAATATACTATAAAAGCTATAACTATTACACTGCAACTACACTGTGTAAAGTGTTACTGTGGATTGGAAAAAGTCTGTGCATGTTCAATACAGATGCAATTTTTTTAAAAAAAATATACAAATAATTTCGTGTGAGTGTGCACACATGTGTGGATGGGACTTGAACCCAGGGCCTTGTGCATACTAAGCACTCAATGTACAGCTACATCTCAGTCCTTTTTTTTTTCAAATATCTTCATCTGCAGTTAGCTGAATACATGTGTTTGGAACCAGAGGGTGCAGAGGGCCAGCTGGGTTATGCACTTAATTTGAGCTCGGGCTCTGTGTCATAAATACATCACTATCTTCAACATTCTCAGCATCACGGCAGCTATGATGGATGTAGCTCCTACTACTCCAAGGCTCTGGGGGATGTGGCCCTTGCCAAACACAGTGCACCTATCACAAGCCTCCACCCTGCTCACCACACCCTGA